TCTCAGATCCATTGCACTTAATCAAACCCCACCAGGAATTATGCACCCTCTTTGCCATCAATTTTAGATCTCTTGTTATTCCCTTATCCCTGAGTTTGTTGGCTCCCCACTCCCCCTCCCTGCCCCCTCCTCTCCCATGTCCCCCGGGGCACCACTGGTCCTGTTGTTTACTCCTTGGGATTGTTTGTCCTTATTATCTTATATTGATAGACACCGCAAAAGATAAAAACAAAACAAAAAAACCTGATAGTTCCATATCCAGAAACAGTTTTCCCTGTACAAATATAGGGCAGAGAGTGCACCATGAAGCTTACAGGAGAAAGGAGGACTTCTGAATAAATAGGTTTGGGTCAATAGATTTTATCTTCTTAAAACTCTAGCGTTATGGGACGTGGGGGGGGGAGATCTTTGAACATCAAACGGAAGTGTCAGATTGGAAAAATAAAATACTGCCCACTACTTCCAGAAAATATGACCTTTCTCAAATTCCCCTGTTACAAAAGATCATGCAAATAAATAAGCAAGACACGCTGGTCTGGATCTCAGGAGAGAAACGGCCACGGGATACAGAAATGAAGCTTCTGAAAGCAGAAAGCGCTAGCGTGAGAGACAGGCCTTCTTAAGAAACGCGGTGTTGGAGCTGGTGAAATGCCGCCCTTCTCCTATTGCTCCTTTTGTCCCCTCACTTGGGGGTTTGTATGAGTCTCTAGCTATAGCTTTTAGCGTGTGGGACTATGAGAAGCTTCAGGAAGTTTGTGGGGAAATGGGATGCAAAGAGAATGGCATTTTTCTACGAACTTTTAGAGGCCTCCCATGTGCATCTGTCTATTCAGTTCGCCACTCCCCATCCCCACTGCCTTTTCAGAGCGTGCTGGCATTAGGACCCATGGTGTAGACATGCCAACATGTAGATCTCTCGGTGCACCGCTTCTGACATGGCATCTTCATGAAGTGCAAATTTCTCACAGCTTTGCCCACCTGTGAGCAAGTGTGGCATTTTCTGTCAATGTGGAGGGCACTGGGATGGGACACTGGATACACGCACTGGGCTCTTCTGACGGGCAGGCTGGTGGTGGGCCCACCCGCACGGAGCCGGCCCTTCTGCTGAGCAGATGAGATTCACCCAGCAGAGCAGCCGGGAGAGCGGCGATGCTCATGTGACTGGGAGACTGGCCAGCCTGGTGCCTGCCTCGCTGGGCTCCTGCGCCTTGCTTCCCCCATCTGTCCATGGAAAGATTGGGATGGATTTGGAGTATCCCTTAGCCTTTGCTCCCCAACAGCCAACATTCTGTAGAGTTTTGCTTCCTGTAACTTGTATGACAGAAATAACTGGTATTCTTTTTAGGTTTTCCCCCAAGTAAAACTGGATGTACATACAGTATTTAAACTACACACCGGTTTCCATTCCCCCTTCCCATACCCGGCCCCACCTCTGATCTGGAGGAGGACTGGCATGGGGGCAAGGGTGGAGTTTTCCAGATGATAGCTACAATCCTACCTTATCTATCTATCTATCTATCTATCTATCTATCTATCTATCTATCTATCTATCTATCTCTGCATCATCTATATTTTTACCTTCAGGGTAGGAATGAGATTATTACCTTTAAATTCATGGTGTTCTCTGAAGCATTAGCTGTGCTAGTAAATTTCAGAAGGTTTAATACATTTGAACAATTTCCATCGCTAGAGACGTTTGTGCTTGCTGGGTTACTATCACACAAGCTTACTCTCACACACCCGCCTCGTTTTACGGTGCTTCGTAGACACTGGGCTCTTTATGATTGGAAGGTCGGTGGCAATCCTGCGTGGAGCAAGTCCATCAACGCCCATTTGTTCCAACAGCATGCGCTTCTGTTGCAACTCTCTGGGTCACGTGTTGGTGATTCTTACAGAATTTCGAGCTTTTTCATACTACTATTGCATACTTAGTAGCAAACAATAGAGTGCAAACATAATTTTCATATGCACTGGGAAACCCCAAAATTCAGGTGACTCTTGCAATATTCGAATGATTGCAGCGGTCTGGAAGCCAACCTGTAACATCTCCAAGAGTGCCGGTGTTTGGGTGGATGTTTGAAGACCCACAGAGGGGAATGGCTGTGTGCCTGGGGTGGGGCTGGCGAGGAAGGATGGGACTCTTTCTCACGGCCATCGAGTCGATTCCAACTCATAATGACCCTACAGGACCGGGTAGAACTGCCCCTGTGGGTTTCTGAGACCGCAAGGGTTTATGGGAGTAGGAAGCCTCATTGCTCTCCCTCGAAGCACCTGACGGTTTCAACCTGTTACTCTGGTGGTGAGCAGCCCAACATGTAACCCACAGGGGCAGCTAATCGGTGGAACTTGTTTTAAGAAGTAGTCACTTTCCTTTGTCACTTGTGTTTTCTCCAGCCGTGATTCCGCCCTTTGATGTCGGCACTTAACTGCACCTCATGAGCTTAAGCCTCCATTTTCAGGGAGAGAAAAAAAAGTAAATGTCTTATCCGAAGCAGCAGGTGACATAGTTTTTAAGTCCTCGCTGCTAATATTGTCTGGATGTCACAAAGCCAGCACCGTAATTGTCTAACGGGAGAGAGGATGGCCTTAAGGAAGGGATTTCCCTGCACCCCTTCACTACTTTTCAATGTACCCTGCGACCATGCACTGAAGATGCGTTGGTCTGCTAACCACAACGTTGGTGGTTCAAACCCACCAGCTGCTTCATGTTAAACTAAAAAGAGAGAGACTGTGTGCTCTCTTCAAGACTCACAGTCTCACAAACCCTAGGGAGCTGCTCTTCACTGCCCTGTCCGGTCACTGTGATCAGAAATGGACTCGATGGCAGTGGGTTTGGTTTTTCATTGTAAGAACCCCCGGTGGTGCAGTGGGTTAAGTGTTGGGCTGCTAACCGCAAGGTTGGGGGTCCAAACCCATGGAAGATGAGGCTGTCTGCTCTGGTAAAGGTTTATTCTCTCGGAAGCCCAGTAGAGCACTTCTTCTCTGACCTGTACGGTTGCTCAGGGCTGGAATCGGCTCAACGGCCATGGAGTGGGCTTCTCAATGTGCACGTTGCTTAAAAGAAAACCAGCAAAAACTATGATCGTTTTAACATTTTTGTGAACTTAGCAGAATAACTCAGCTAAAAATTTATTTATTTGTCTTGTACATTTCTTTGCACTTCTTGAGTGGAAGAGTTCACTTGATCTTGGGATGCGTTTATTAAAAACAAAAGCTGAAAACGTGATGTCTTTGGACCAAGACTGTGTCCACTGTCAGATGACTTCTTTGCTTCTGCTGGAAGAAGGCTGAGAGCAGCCCCCACCTCCCACCCCCACCCACAAGAGCCCCCCTCCACCAAAAAAACAAACTCGCTGTCATTGAGCCGATTCCAGTTTGTATCAGCCTTATAGGACAGGGTAGAACTGCCCGTGTGTTTCCAAGGTGCTTAACTCTTTCCGAGACTAGAAAGCCATGCCATCCTCTTGCAGGGCGGCTGGTGGTTTCAAACTATAGACTTTGTGGTTATCAGCCCAATGTGTAACCACCGTGCCAACAGAGTTCCTTAACCAGGGCCCAATCCCCTGTTCTTCCCTCCTCGCCGTTTTGAAATATGCTTTGCTTCTGCCCTCGGGTAAGAGCAGGGCTAATAAAAAGCAAATACCGTGGAAGCCGTTTCCAAGAACAATAAACAGAATCAGAGATACTGCTTAAAATACATCTTGCTTGAAATATTTAATGTTCTGAATTTATGAACCCTCCAGAAAGTGGGAAGGAGACTTTTTTTTTTTTTTTAAGCAATATGCGTTCTTTGAAATCAGGGTTGCTTCACACTGCGCTAATGCTCTTCCTAAAGCATCAAGCTTTCACACACATCCTACATGTTGGCAGTGATGCCCGGGGAAGGTAATCTCACGGCATGCCAGACTCTCTCATCCTTTAAACCAGCGGTTCCCAACCTGCGGGTTGAGACTCCTTTCACAGGGGTCGCCAGATTCATAACAGCAGAAAAATTACACTGATGAAGTAGCAGCAAGAGTAATTTTATGGTTGTGGGGGGGATCACCACAACATGAGGAACTATATTAAAGGGTCGCGGCATCAGGAAGGTTGAGAACCACTGCTCTAAAGGAGTGTGAAGCCAGCCCTGGCGTGTTGCTGGTGTCCTCTGTGGGTTAGGACCATGCTTTCCACAGCCCTGGACTTGGCAGTCCTTTTCAGGAGCAGGTGGCTGGGCCAAGGGGCAGCTCAGAAGGTTCGGATTGCTGATTGAGAATGAGGGGCAGCCAGGACTGCCTGCTGCCGGGGGACTGACCTTTGGTGGATTCTCCCCAACTGCGTCAGTGAGAGGAAGGAACATGAGCTCTTTCCCTTCCACCTTTGACTCTGGATTCCGGGTCATTGTGAAGCAATGGCCGCTCTGGCGGCCTAGTGGTGGTGCCCTGGGCTGCTAATCGCAAGGTCAGCAATTCAAGAACCATCAGCCACTCCTTGGGAGAAAGAGGAGGCGTTTGACTCTTGTAAAGAGTTGCAAAGCTCAGAAACCCAGAGAGGCAGTTCTACCCCGTCCTGCAGGGTCACTTTGAGCTGACGTCCACTCCGTGGCAGTGAGTGAGTCCCATGGAAAGGCTGTGAAAGCACCTCTTTTCAGCCACTGGTTGAAGCCCTCAGGACAGGAGGACTCCCTCGAGCGATGGGTCAGGGAAGCGTTCAGCGACTAGCTGAAAGGCTGGAGGTTCAAACTTAACTCGAAGTGCCTCCCAAGAAAGGGCTGGTGACTGCACACCCAGAAACCTATGGGGTCACCAGGAGCCGGAATCCTTTCTGCGGCAAACGGTTTGTTTTGGGCCTGGAAACATCCTTGTCCAGGGAAGAAAGGCAGAGGGGGTGATGGGCAGAGGAGACCCCCAGATCCCAGGGTTGTCCTCCCAGGCGATGCTTTTAGAACTGCGTCGTGCCCGTCTTCCTTATGACTGGGCCTTTCTGATGCTGATGAAACCTCTCGTTTGCTGAATTCCAGAAATGGCTTCAGACATACCTGGATCGGTGACATTGCCCGTTGCCCCCATGGCAGCCGCTGGACAGGTGAGGATGGCGGGGGCCATGCCGGCCCGAGGAGGAAAGCGGCGTTCCGGGTAAGCTCCCACAGCGATTCTGGGAA